ACAATGCCCTCACCCAAGCAGACAAATGTCAATACTGTCTGCTCAAGGCAGCTTTGCATGTGTGTGCTTAGCAGATTGTGTTCCTAATAGGTAAGAACCTTACAGTTGGAAACAGGAAAACCACCTATAAGATTCACTGCTAGGTCCCAATTTTCTCATTTTCCATCTGTATCTGAACTTTCAATTTGCTCTCTTGCGCCCTGGAAATTGGCCCAGTGCCCCACTCAGAGAAATGAAGGCCATTATCCCCTCACTGTGGCCTTGCTTGGGAAATTGAAGGGGAATTCTACTCCATGAGAGTAGCTCCCTAAGGCAGACTCCTGCTGTGTCGACCAGGCAGTGCTGTCAGGGGTCCTGTGACTTGGTTATTTCTATCATTCTATGTCCCATGCCATCTGTGACATCTGCCATGGCGGGGGTAGGTTTCTGGTTCCTAATGGGCTGTTCCTCCGAACCCCAGAAATAAACCTGTAGCCTGGAGAGCTCCCATCCAGTTTCTGCTCTGTGGACCAACTGTGGGGCTTTTCATGTGTCTGAGAGCTAAAAGATTAGAATCCCATTATCCAACTTTTATTTCCTAAAAGAAAATTCAACTCTTAAAGCAGCTGGTAAACTCTGAGGCTAAATTACAAGTATACCCAGAAAAAACACCACACTTGAGCTTATCTTAAAACTATCTTGTAAGTACACAAATGTTTTTATTAAAAAGTTAACCATTTGTTATCATGTCTAATCTTGAAGAAGCAAAGCTGTGTTCTTGGGCAGTCTTCTATAATTTGTCTGTCAGTAAGGCACTGGTAGGCTGGCTAAGGTGCTAGATATGCAGCTGAACTGTCTAGAGTTGATTCCCAGTAGTGTGATCTTGAGTAAGTGACTTAGCCTCTTAAGCCTCGAGATGTTCTTATCTGTAAAACAGAAATGATAATAATGCCTGCCAGTGCTGTTATTATGAGAACCGATTGGTGACTCACTACATTTGACATGTTAAGCCAAGCAAATAATACATGTTCCTTTAACAGGATCACAGGCAGAGATGTTAATTGGCTTCCTTAAATTCCTTAAAATTTAAGACATCTTAACAGAAGCCATTTCATCTCAATTCATAAGCAAAGTCACTCTGACTTTTCTAGCTCTGATTCACCTGTTTCCTCTTTAAATCTGAACTCTCTGCATGGCAATCTTGAATCTCCAAGGAAATATATACATTTGAAGAAAAAACCTTTCATATACATTCATATCAGATAGATAGATAGATAGATAGATAGATGATAGATAGATAGATGATAGATAGATAGATAGATAGATAGATAGATAGATAGATAGATAGATAGATAGATAGGCAGGCATGTAAGTAAAAGGCTTCACATCAATATTTGCCCTCACTTCATGTGATGATTTGGCATCTCATTTTCTTCCGATGCTAAGCACAATCAACCATACTAATTTCACAACTCATCAAGCTGCAGGATGCAAAACGCTGCACTTCAGAATGTTCTATCAAAATTCCAGTTTTGGAGGAGAGACTGAGTTTGGCACCCAGCACTCACATCAGGTGGCTCACAGCTGCCTGTTAGCTCCAAAGGATCCAATGCCTTCCTCTGGCCTTGGCAGGAACCTGTTCACATGCACACATACCCTCAAGGATACACAGCATATACACATATAACTTACATTAAAATTCTTAAGAAAATTGCACTTTCTTCACCTCAATAACTTTAAAACAGACTGCAATTTCTACCAATTTCTCTTAAAATTTTGAACTCAACATTTTCTCTGTTCTCTGTTTAAAAACAATCTGTAAGCACAGTAAGAACACCTGGAACTCCACATAGATGGTTTTAAATCTTAGTTGAAAGTGACTTAATTTTCCTAATCTTCAGTTTGCTTATCTGATGGTTAGGATAATTTTCCAAAGATATGAGAATGTTAAAAGAAGCTGTGTATTAAATGCACAGCACGGTGACTGCTGTTAAATACACACCAGTTATTACAGTCCTTGGCCTTTGAAGAACAGGATACTTGTGTGTTTTCAACACTAGCTCGTTATACTTCCCCCAAACCTTGGGTTTTCTTTCATCTTTTGATTGTCTCCTTTGCCGTGTACACTATTCAGTTTGGTGCAATTTCCTTTGTTTACTTTTGCTCTTTCTGTCTCTGTGACATTATGATTATATCCAAAATATCATGTCCCAGAGCAATGTTATATAACATTCTTCTAGTCAATTGACTTTCAGATCTTAAGTCTACTTTATTTGCTTACTGTGAGAAAGGCCGAGGAAGGGTCATTCTCCATGTGGACAGCCAATTTTCCAAATACTAATCATCAAGGTCTATTCTTTCACCCTTTATGTATTCTTGTTATATTTTCCAAAAAAGAAGAGCTTGATCATAAATATACGTGAGGCAGAGCCTGCAGGTGTCCAAGCGAAGATACAAACTGTGCAGAGATGAGAATGGACACTCAGTTCAGATTGACTTAAGGAAGTCTGATGACAGGCTGCTCATAGTCAGTGTTTTTAAAACATTATAATTTAGGGGAAATTTTCCTGTTGTGATACAATCTTCAGTGCACAAGGAACTATAATTACATTAAAACTCAGACCATAGGGAAGACTCTGGCTTGCTCTCCATCATACAGTTAGTGTAGAGGTCATTTTAGACTATTAACTGCCTCTGTCCTGGTTGTGGGAGTGTGGGGAGCCCCGGGAGGTAAGGGTCATTTAGATGGCTAGCCACATCCAGTCCTGGTTAGGGTGCTTCCTAAGACCTGGCCCAACAGATAACATAGATCACCAGACTATTAACCACCTACCTCCAATTCCCACCTTTCTGGGAAAACAGGTTGTATGTCCTTCCCTTTGAAAGAACAATCTTGGGTGCTTAATATTCCTAAGTTCTCTAGAGATCTGTAGACACAAAGACCTTTATGCCCCAACACATATGCATTCATTTCTAGGCTTTTACCCTTATTCCTTTGATCCATGTCTCCATTCTATGCCCATACTGCATTGTTTTGATTACTTTGGCTTTGTGATGTATTTTGATGCCAGGACAAATAATCTTATTTTTAGAAATGTCAGAGTATCTCAACAGACAATTTTTCAATGTATACAAGAGACTTTCGAATATATGGGAAAGCCATAATGAGTCAAAATGAGAAGGAGCCTCACCCATTAGAATGGCCAATCCCCAAAGGATGAAGCATAAAAAACAATATTCAGAAAAGGGAAACTGTACCTTGTGGTAGAGATACCAGTTAGCACAGCCACCTTAGAAAACAGTGTGGTGATTACTCAAAACACTAAAACTATCATAGGATCCAGCCATCACATTTCCGGGCATATAACCAAAGGAATTACAATCCATATGTAGAAGAAGCATCTTCATTTCCATGTTAACTGCCATATTATTCACAAAGCAGAGATACAGAAACAACCAAAGTGCTTGTCAACAGATGAATGGATTCTCTAATGTGGTATTTTATACATACACAAGAGAATACCACTCAGCCTTTAAAACAGAAGGAAATTCTGTCATTTACAGTAACACAGATGAATCTAGAGAACATTATATGTGTGAAATAAGCCAGTCACAGAAAGGCAAATAGCTCATGATCTAAATGTAGAATCTAGAATGTCGAACAGACAAAAAAGGGAAATGGTGGTTAGCATAGACTTAGGCTAGCAAGGCTGATAGAGAAAGAAGATATTTTTGACTGAGGGAAACAAAGTTTCAGTTAGACAGGAAGATCTAGGGGTCTATTGTACCAATGGTAACTAGTTAATTATGTACTGCATATTTCAAATTTACAGGAAAGTATATATATATATGCTTTTTCAACAAAGAAATAATATGAGATGATGTTTATATTAATTAGTCTATTTTAATTCTATAAGATAGATAGAGAAATCTTAATTGTATCCTAAAGTCCATAATCTCTCAATAAAAATAACAAATTGCTAACCTTTACCAAGGCATACACGAGACTCTCAGTAGTGGTACTCAACCAATTATCAAAATCCCTTATTTTTAAACATCCTGACGCATGAGCATCCCAAGATGGAGGGCAGATGAGATAATAGTGGTGAACCGAGGGAACCAGGTTGCCAAATCAGACGGAACAAGAATCACAGATCTTACTCACAACCAAGTTCACTGAAGAGTCAAAAGACAGAACAACAGTAAAAGGAGTCATGTAATTCTTCCTTTGCAGAGGTTTGAGACTGTCCAGTCTAAGTGTCTGTAAGGACCTTTCTTTTCCTACATAAAATGCACATTGATCCAACTAACACACACAGTGGGAACAAGTAAGGTTTGTGGCCTAAGCAAACAATGGCCTTTGCTTTACTGAACATCTGCTTATAATGACCTACAGATTTTGAAGGTCGTGTGATAGCTTCCAGCAGATTATCCCCAATAAATGCACAAAGCTGCTTTATTTACAACCGACAACCTAAACATACCTGCTTATCATCCTATATAAGAGAACCTTCAGCGAGTAAGTTCCGTGTCAATCAGGAGTTGAATCATTACATGTTTATGACTAGGAAAGCCTGGAGTAAGCTTTCCTTCCCAACAGTGATACAGTTCTAAGAAGCAAAGCCACGAGACTACAGCTTTGCTCTTTTCCAAGTTTCACATTAGCATTTGAGAACTTAGCTGAATTTCAAACACATATAAATAGAGGCTGATATTGAGGGCGCTCCAAAATTCTTGGAGCAGTTTTAAGCTTTAAATAGCATAAATTGCTTTTCATGTAAATTAAATCTGCCATAAGGTTCCCAGTGCTCTGTTTATTTCATTTTAAGATACTTTAAGTAGTAAAAAAAAAAAAAAAAAAAAAGTGTTCTTTTGTTTCTCTTAAGCATGATAAATCCAAGTGTTCCACATAGTCTCAGTGAAGAGGTGAATGCACCATCTTTAACACCATGAATATTCTGTTTGCTGTGCTCTCGTGTTCATCCAAATGAAAATAAGGTACACAATCCCTATCTTTGCAGATACTCCATTGACAGAGGCAGTGACCCGGGAAGATTTTTCTATGTTGACATTACAACAGGTGCTCTAATGACTGCACGACCACTAGACAGAGAAGAGTTTTCCTGGCATAATATAACTGTCCTTGCTATGGAAATGAGTAAGTAACATAATTTATTGGTCTCTCCGGAGTTACAAAATGTAAAGATGCAGAAAATGTCTAGACCTTGTAACAAACAATATGTTCCAGAGGAGAAACTAAAATTATATGTTCTACAAATAAATGATTGTGTGACTTAGTCCTTAGTTCATTTTATGGTTGAGGTGGATCATTGAGTTCCGATGTTTTATGTAAAGGAATTCTATATGAATCAGAAATTGAATCATTACATGTTTATGACTGGGAAGGCCTGGAGAAAAAATCTCCTTTCTAACAGTGATACCAGTTCTAAGAAGCAGAGCCACAAAACTATAGCTTTGTTCTTTTCAAGTTTCAGATTAGCAAAAATAACAAAAGCAAACAAAAACAAAAAAACAAAAAACAAGCAACTGTATTAGAACTACTTTTGCTGCATCCCTAAAGTTCTGGTAAGTTCTGTTCCCATTTCCCATTTTGTTTTGATTCTAGGGTTATTATTTATTATTATTATTATTATTATCATTATCATTATTTCCTCTCTGATTTCTTAGTAACCCAAAGATTATTGAAGATTTCATTGTTTAATTTCAATTTCAAGTTTCTATAGGTTCTCTTGCTATTGATTTCTAGGTGTTTTTTATTGCATTATGATTTTTGTATTTGTTAGAACGTTTTTTGGAATCTAACTTTATTTTTTGGAAAGTTCCATACGCTGCTAAAAGAGTGTATGTTATACATATGTTTGGTGAAATATTATGTAGATATTTAGAAATGCCATTTGATCTGTAGGAAGGCTTAACTCTGAAATTTTTAGAGTGTTTTAAATCTAGATAATCTATAACTGGTATATTGATGCCACCCACTGTCATTATATCTGGATCTTTCTGTCCTATTATGCCCAATAATGCCTATTTTATGAAATTATGTGCACCAATATACAAGGCATATATATATATATATATATTTCAATTTTTTTCAATTATTTTATAATCATTTTTTTTTGAGGCAGAATCTCACTGTGTAGCCTTAGCCTGGCCTAGATCTTGCTAGGTAAAAAAGGCTGCCCTCAAACTCAAGGCAATCTGCCTGCCTCTGTTACCTCTGTGCTGGGATTAAAGGCATTCACCACCGTGCCTAGCTACAAACATTTTATCTTCTTAAGTGATTGCTCTTCTTTCTAATTTTCGGTGACCCTATTTACCTCTCCTAGATAAACTTAAAGCATACTTTAACTACGTGTATTTGTTTCCAGGTTTCACTTGTTAGGGGTTTGTAATTCCGTCATTCATTTTAAGCTCCTGCACCTTTTCATATGAAATGAGTTTCTTGCAAAAAGCAGTCATGTCTTACTGTTTGTCGTTGCTGTTGTTGTTATCCAATCAGCTAGTCTGTATTTTTTAATAGAAAAGTTAAATCAATTTACATTTATTTTTTTTTTTTAGAAAAGTTTTCTGACTCCTATAAAATGTTTTTCTCACTGGCTTTTAATATTGCTTGATTTTTCTTTCTCGCTCATTTCTGCCTTACTGCGTTGGGCACGACAGGGTCTTTTCCCATTCACTTCCCCTCATTTATTCACTCATCTCACAAAACTTATCCTTTTGGACCTCTCATGTTCAGGACTATGTTCCTTTCTCCCGTGTATAATATTCATTTAAGTATCTTCTGCAATGTGGGTTGAGTGGTCAAGACCTGTTTTAGTTTGTGTTCGTGATGCTCATTTCGATGAACAATAGCTTTGTTGAACAAGGGTAATTTCAGTTGACGTTTATTTAGTTTCGGTGATTATTTTCAAATAATCACTCCATGCTTTCCTGGCTTCGGAGTCTCTCATGGAAAGTCCAGTGCCACTCTGATGGGTTTGCTCTTTTGAAGTCGGGGATTCCCTCCTGCAGTCTTTATTTGTCACTGTGTAGTCTCAGAATTATAACTTTGATGATGGGTCCTTTACTGGACATGGCTACTTCAGTGCTCTAAATGTCCTTTGAGCTTACATGTTGATCTCTTGCACAGTTCTGCAATAATTTTATTGACTAGGTTTCCTGTGCCTTAGATTAGACCTCAGGTCCTTCTACCTTATAAATTTCTATGATTGCTCTCTTCTCCATGGCTCAGAGTTCTTGAAAGTTGTGGTTGTGGCCATTTATTTCATTATTGATATCTGACGACAGTCTTTCCCCAACTTCATTTTCAGTCCATGATATTCTTTCTTCTTCTTAATCCAACTGTTGAAAGAGATACTTTTTAGAATGTTGCTTACATACTGTTTTTCACTTACAATAGTTGTATAGTGGTATGCTTTCCATCAAAATCTCAATTTTCTTGTTGAATTTGGCTTTCTTATTCAGGCTCTAAACTTTCTGCCTTATCTCATTGTCTACTTGTTTGTATCTTCTTTCAAACCAGCAGTCAAATGATTTCTTCGTGTGGTATTTTAACCATTTCTTTCAATGTTGCTGGATTCAGTTATTAACACAATATGATTGGCAGAGCATGATATCTACCTCTTCATAACTATGTTTCTATTTTGTAGTTTGTACATCTGTTAGTATAGTTACCTTTTCCAGTTTATTATTGGGTTTGGAAAGCAGTCTTTTCTTGTGGGCTCAATTCCAGTACCACTCAAGAGAGGAAAAACAGGCCACTTTACTAGTATTAAGATGAAAGCAGATACAAAAATACTATTAAAAGGGGTTATAACAAACTACTCTATCACTGATAACCATAAACAAGCAAGTGGATGAAATAATATAGACTAATCTATAAGCATAGAAAGTAGATGTATTAAGGCTAGCAAGATGGTTTGGCCAGTAAATGCATTTACCACAAAAGCAGAGTTTGATTCTGGAATCCACATGAAAATGGAAAAAGAGAACTGAGTTCACAAAACTGTCCTGTGACCTCCACACACAATACCATGCAAGGCATTATGGGAATTATATACTCATCATGCATATGCATAGACATACACCCATACACGTTGTAATTAATTATATAAGTTAAAAAATAATAAAAAGCAATAAAGGGGCATGAGAGGAAAGATGAATTAGTAAGATTAAATAAAAGAAAAGGGGAAAGAATGTTATAAAGACCATGAGGGAAAACAGTACATTTAAAATACTATTGTACAATAAAGGAAAATATGTAGGGTTAGAGAGTTGGACCAATGGTTAAGAGCACTTGTTGCTCTTGTAAGGAACCCAGGTTCCATTCTCAGGACCCATATGATGGCTCATACTCATCTGTGACTCCAGTCTTGGAGAATCCAACCATCTCTGCTGACCTCCACAGGTACCAGGCACAAACATGGTGGTGCACTTACATGCAAGCAAAACACTTGCATACACATAACAAATCTTAAACATGAAAATATATAGACAAAACAAGATCATTGCAAAAGAAATAAAAATCATAAAAGCTTCTTTTTAAAAAATAAAAATAACAGACTGCTGAGAGACCTCGGCAGTTCAAGTGCTCGCAAGCTTAATGGCTGGTGTACACCGGAGCCCACGTGAAAGGAAAAGGACAGAAATAACTCCACACATGGGCAGTGGCAGGGATGCCTACTCATATACATACATAAAAATATTGTCATCTAAAATAAATAAATAAATAGAATACCAAAAGCGTAACAAAAAAGAAGAATAACCCAATGAGTGAACCGTTGTCCTTTCCTGTATAGTCCCTAATGACAAATACCCGCGCAGAAGACACATCCTTGTCCCAGCATGTGAGTGGTTGCACTCTCCACAGGGAACACAAGTCCTATGAGCATGTTATCATCTCCACATTTTATCCATTCTGTGACAAAGCACTTCAACACAACTGTCTTCCTGCCTTACTGAGCCCTCTGAGTCATTGTTCCTTATGTTCCCTTTAGACAATCCCTCCCAAGTGGGAAGCGTTGCTGTCACCATCAAAGTCCTGGATGTGAATGACAATGCTCCAGAGTTCCCCAGATTCTATGAAGCTTTTATCTGTGAAAATGCCAAAGCAGGACAGGTAAGCCAATCGCCTTGGTAAACCCAAGATGTACAATGGTAACTGTTAGCTGTCTTAGGGAGGGTTTCTATCACTGTGATAAACTACCGTAACCAAAAGTAATCTGGGGAGGAAAGGCTTCATTGTATCCTATACTTTCAGGTAATAGTCCCTTGCTGAGAGAAATCAAGGCAGTAACTCAAGCAGTAGAGACACTGGAGGTGGGAGCTAATGCAGAGGCCATGAGAGAGCTTCTTAATGACTTGCTCCTTGTAGCTGACTAGACCTGCTTTCTAATACAATCCAGGACCACCTCCGCAGGAATGGTACTGCTAACAACATGCTGGTTGGCTTATCAGTCATTAATCAATAAAATGTTCTACAGACTTGGCTATAAGTCAATCTTATAGAAGCATTTTCCCAATTGAAGGTCCCTCTTCCCAAATGACTTTATTTTATATCAAGTTGGCATAAAACTAACCACCGCAGTTGCTGAATTCATCATGATCAACATGTCCACACCAGAAGTGAGGAATAGAAAATGGAGTCTCCAATTTCTTTATATTAGGTTCTAGTCATTTATTTATTAAGACAACCACTTGGAGGATAAATTACATTTTGTCGTCTGAATAGTGCTTTAACAGTTCTTGTGAGTTGACTCACAGAATAAATATTCTGGTTATGGAAGTAACCCTAGCTCTACAAACTTCACAAACATATTCTTAAGATATGTTTCTAAACCTAACCTGGTGTTTCAAATTCCAAATGATTTGTCTAAGAAGCATCCAGCACTACATTTCCAGTGGCCAAATATCAGGATACCTGTCAGGCACTGGACACCCTCTTCCTGTTCATCCACACCCTCCTTTCTTCTCCTGCTTTCCCATGCTTCCTTCTTCCATTAAGGGTCATAATGTCCATCTTAGAGCATATTCTGTGGTCCTATAAACTCCAGTAGAACAAATGGATGAAGGTCATCTATTATTAAAATTGGGGAGTTGAGAAGTCCACATCTGACCAGATGTGATCAGGCTCTGACTACAACGCAGCTTTCTGCTCATGTTTACCCCTCACCTGGACCATCACCCAATGCCCTCTGCACAAAGCTGTGTCTCTAGAACCAACATTTACTTGAACATTCAACATCCTTAGTCCAACATTTCTTTGTCTTCTATCCAAAGAAAGTGACTTTGTTTCTGGAAAGCCAAGAGCCCTGCAGTGATTCAAATCCAAACTGACCTCAACACTGATTCTTATAATGTGGTGCAATAGTCTGCATCACTCTTAAAAGCTTTTTCCAATTCTCCAATAATTGTATTTCCATATTTATTAAAGTTCTAGTTTAAGAAGGCCTAAGATGTTATCCACCTAATAATAGTTACAATAATAGCTTTGTTGAACAAGGCAGGTCCATGGTAATGGCAGTAAAGAATCACATTAACAAGCCTGCAGTTTGGTACATTATGTTACACATGAAGCAAGGTCAGCGAGAAGATACTGTGTTGAGGAGGACAAGCTCTACCGGTGGGTTGGGCTTTGAAAATTCTGACTAGGTGTTTTGAGCTTTTAAAAGAAAGTTTACTACCATGCTTCTTGATTACTATACATAATATGGCATATTTTTTGTTTTACTGCAAAATAAAATTTAGGACTATTTTATGCCATGGAAAAGAGTCTAAATTTAGTCATGAACTTACAGGATGCTAAGTAGCACAATGAAGGAAGCCCCTCTTTCCACTTTCTGTCTTGAAGGTTCTGGGACAGAAGCTACACTATGTCAAGAGCATAACATCTAACCACCATGCCTGCTTTTGGAGCCATGTGTGTCCTCCACTTCCAAGGACATCACTAATGGCCCTTTGTGAAAGTCTTTGAAGTAATTTATCTGTGACTTAGAGTTAGGGGACAATGTCACAAGCCCATTCCCATTTGTCACCTTCAGCCTAAGGCAAACCTAACCTTGTGTGCACGTGCACGTGCACGTGTGTGTGTGTGTGTGTGTGTGTGTGTGTGTTGTCCTCTTCCTCATAGTGGATGAAGGGCCCACACAGTGAAATACATGCCTTATGGCTACAGATGGGGTGCTAAACAAGATATTATACAAATGGGGCTAAGGAGTCTCAGAAGAAGGAGACCAATAAAGCTGGCCAGGTTCCTCCTACCGTGAACCCCACCACACTGTCTATCTACCCTTCAAAGTTCTGTCTCACCAATATACACAGTTTTACGATGTGTTAAAATTTTTCCACTCTAAAATGTATTCAAAACATTCCCTAAGAAACATTTCATCTCTCTACATTTGGCAATCAAAATAAAAATACAGCATTTGTCTCTCCGTGGGGCTAGGGAGGGTGGTGCCTGTGACGTGAGCAGCACTAACTGAGTCTGAACCTGATCCGTGTGTGACTCTCTCCGTCACTCCTGGCCCTTAGCCTTACTAGTACTGCATTTCATGCCCCTTCAGATTCAACATTCAGCTATTTCAGGAGTCCTTCCCTGAGACAGAGTTCTGAAACATGATGTTTTCGAGAACTATAAGAAGAAAAGGCAGAGTGACTAAGCAAAATAAAATCTAGCTGCAATAAAGATACGTTAGCATCCTCACAAAGTTCTAGAAAAAAGAGCTTTCCCAAGTTTAAGGGGAAGTGAAGCCTTTATTCTCCCCAGCATCTGTTCATCACTGGTGGCAGGTTGCCCTGCAACGATGTGGTAACTATGGGTAGGGCGGCTAGCACAATAAGGGTAATCCCTGACGAGGGAGGCCGGTGAAGAGCGGAGCAACCAGTCCTTTGAGGATCAGCACACAGAAACCCCTTGTCCCTCTAATCTTCAGCATGCTTAAAAATCTTAAAAGCCCACCTGGGCCCTCAAGCTGAAGTTGATAGAGTCATTTCTGTCCTGGGAGAAAAACAGCACTTCCAGCAGAAATGACAGGTTTACAAGACCAGGCCCGAGTTGACTAGGATCATCTGTGGTACAGCATGTTAGAGCACACCAATGGAAACCAGCTAATAAAAACGATTTCCATACCCCATCCCCTTCAGACTACCCACTAATGCTCCAACCGTCTATTGCATCCTGCCTTCTTTACTGTTTTTCCATGAGTTCCCATGGCCTTCATGAAAGGTATTCCTTTGAAGAATATTGTGGGAAAGACAGAGCTTGGCCAGAGGGACCAAGGGGAAGCAGTCTTACTCTCTCTTACACTAAACTCTGATTGCTTGCTTCTTTTGTTTTTCCCAGCTGTGCTACACTCTCATACTTCTGACTACACTCTGCTTCCTACCCTGATGAGTGTATGCACTACACCTTCTCTAACTTCCTTCCTCCTAACAAAGCGTGACTGTTCTGTGGCCCACGCCCCTTGAATCCGCATTCCATCACGTAACGCCGCCGTCTTCATTTGCTTTCTAGGTAGTGATCATTCTTAAGCAGTGGCTGTTCCACAATAGCAACATAGCTACCAAACATTCAATGGTGGTATACGGATTATGTGCGGCTTTGTGACAGCCCATGGTTCCTTCACTGTCTTGTGTGTACAACAAAATAATTGGCCAAGCTATGGGACTAGCGCAGCTGAAGCATTTAGGAAACGTTTATTCGTTACCTATTAACATATATGAGACCAGGAATATGCTTAGTTAATTTTATGCTGTGTGATGGTATGGAGGGTTTCCAGGTTAGTTTCAGGACATCTGACTGGGCAAATGACTTCCTATTGCACTCCAGGTTTAGGGTTTCACTAGACTTTACTCTTCCTTTGGCTCCAACTCACCCTGAATTCCTTCATGTCCCTCCTTCAGCTGATCCAGACGGTGAGTGCCGTGGATCAAGATGACCCTCACAATGGTCAACACTTCTACTACAGCTTGGCTCCTGAGGCTGCTAACAACCCCAACTTCACGGTCAGGGACAACCAAGGTAACCAAGGTGGACATGGCTATCTATGCCTTTCTACTGCTCAAAATGGACATTTTGAGTTACTATACTATATAAACACTGTCACATTTTCAGACTTCTTAATAGCAGGAAGGGCGTTAATACTAATTTGTAGTCTGCCAGTTTTTGTTACATAGCATCAAAGACAAAGAGTGCCCTCTGCTGTCTCTACAGCTTTCTTTCCTCAGTTAGCTGTCAAACATTTATTGATGTCTGTGAAAGACGCTATTCAAAGTGCAGTGGTAAATTTCCTTTCTTTAGTCCAAATCAGAGCAACTATGTTTACATGTTCTATAAAGACAGAAACAGCTTAAGGGAAAAAAGTCTCCTAGAGAAAGAGAACAAACCTGAAGAAACATTTCTAATCAAAACTTTAAAAACCAATAAAAGCAGGGAAGGAGGAGTACAAAGCTCCCACAGCAAAGGAGGTGAGGCTAAAGGGACCGGTAATAGCAGCAGCAGCAGTAACAATAGCAACAGCAGCAACAACAGTAGCAGCAGCAGCAGTAACAGCAGCAGCAGTAACAGCAGCAGCAGCAGTAGTAACAATAGCAACAGCAGCAGCAACAGTAGCAGCAGCAGTAACAACAGCAGCAGTAACAGCAGCAGCAGCAGCAGCAGTAGTAACAATAGCAGCAGCAGCAGTAACAATAGCAACAGCAGCAACAACAGTAGCAGCAGCAGCAGTAACAACAGCAGCAGTAACAGCAGCAGCAGCAGTAACAGCAGCAGCAGCAGCAGCAGTAACAACAGCAGCAGTAACAGCAGCAGCAGCAGTAGTAACAATAGCAACAGCAGCAGCAACAGTAGCAGCAGCAGCAGTAACAACAGCAGCAGTAACAGCAGCAGCAGCAGTAGTAACAATAGCAACAGCAGCAGCAACAGTAGCAGCAGCAGCAGTAACAACAGCAGCAGTAACAGCAATCAGCATATCAACTTTTCTTCATTTGGAAAATATACCACACACACACACCAAACACACACACACACACACCAAAGCTGTCACCTTAGCAAAAACTACTCTTTCCAGAAGAAAGCTGTAGTTATCACTTTTAATGAAAACATTGCAAAAGACTAACGTATGCCAGTCCTTGACATGTAATAAAAATCTATGTGTGAGGTTTTGGTTATGTTGCTGTTGTTGTTGCTGCTGCTGCTGCTGTTTCAGCTCTAGGTCAGCCTTTCTTAAAATCCTCATGATCTAGGCTAAATTAAAGCAAAACAGATGATTTTCTAATGTTCTAGTTATAGAGAAAGGAGAAGTGCTTAGGGTAGTGGAGAGGCTGGGGCTATGGTTTAGCCAGTAAATGCTTACAGCACAGTGAGAGGACCTGAGTTCAGACGCCTACCACACTTGTAAAAGCCAGCTATGGCAGTGTATGTCTCAGCTTAGCTCTGAACAGAGGGAAGCAGGTGGATTTCCAGAGCTCAGTGGCTAAATCCTAAATCTGTCCAAACTGGAGATGAGATGTCCATCAGTGAAAGACACTGTCTCATAAATACATACATAAATAAATAAATAAATAAATAAATCATCCCAAATCCACCTCCTCTGGGCTCCACACACATGTGAACATACATGTGCAAACAAACAAACTTACACACATAAGTAAAAACCTCACATACAAAAGGGTTTGCCTACATGCCCTGAGTTGATCATTATATAATGAAAAAAATATACTGAAACACCACCCTATACCTCATAAAGATATATGATTATCTCTTAATTAAAATTTTTATTTTTTAAATGAAAGAAAAATAATAACTTTTACCAAGGCTGAAAAGATGACTCAGCAGTTAGGAGTACCTGCTGTTCTACCAGGAGAAAGGTTCAATTCCCAACGCCAAGATGACAGGTCATAACTGTCTCTAACTCTAGTTCCTGGAGATCTAACGCCCTCTTCTGGCCTCTGCAGGCACTAGGCACACAAGTGGTATACAAATATGCATGTAGACAAAACACCATGCACATAAAATAGAATTTAAAAATTGAAAGAATAGAGCTCACCAAATTCATATTAACTGTCTACCTCAGCCCACAGGCCAGGAGGAGTTACACACTGTGTGGTATAAGCAAGGGTTCACATGAGCTTCTGAGAACAAGCAGTTTCTTCAGGAAGCTGGTGAAGCCAAGTGAAAGGCATAAAAGAAAATATCAAAAGACGTGAATTCCGGCCCAAATACCAAAAATAAGCAATCTTGACCAGCCACGTGGGCCCCTTGGCTTTCCTTTGCTGAAGGCAGAAAGCGGCTCGGGCCTTAGCAAGCTGCCGGGAGCAAACAGGGGGCGCAGACCGCCAAGGATTGTCATTCCTGTCAAGTTTTCCCAGGGAACATTTGTTAGATCTGAAGGCTGTCAGTTTGCCCTGGGCACTTTATGTCACAAAGGGTAAGACAGCCTCTCACAAAAGGGCTTCTCTTCTAGGCCTCAGGGTTTTGCCTGAAAGCAAACGAAAATCTTGATTTTTCAAACCTAAGTGCTTGAGCCAAACCAATAGACATGGCTGCAGCAAGCACACTCTCCTTCTCCTACCCTGCCCCTGCCTCCTGACGTCCTTCAATCCAAGAAATTCTCTTTTTCTCCTTCAGATAATACTGCTCGGATTCTGACCAGGAGGTCCGGCTTCAGACAGCAGGAGCAGAGCGTCTTCTATCTGCCCATCCTCATAGCAGACAGCGGCCAGCCAGTCCTTAGCAGCACTGGGACGCTCACCATTCAAGTGTGCAGCTGCAATGACGACGGCCACGTCATGTCCTGCAGCCCAGAGGCCTATATGCTCCCAGTCAGTTTGAGTCGGGGTGCCCTCATCGCCATCCTGGCCTGTATCTTTGTCCTCTTAGGTGAGTTGGTGGCTCCTTTTTGGGAAAGGTGGGGGGGGGTCCACATGCTTTGAAACATGAGCAGTTAACCCTCTATCTCAGCTACTGAGAACTGGTCCTCTCCCAAGCTTACTTCAAAAGGTGGTAGAGTGAAGCTTGGAGACAAGTGAGGAAGTTGAAGACAGTCTCTTCCCTCAAGGCCTCTTTGGCAAGGTTAAAGCACATGGGTTTATCAAGTATCTATTGTAGACCCGAGCACTGTACTAGGTACTTTGATTAGAAGACAGATATACCCTGACCTTCATAGTTTACTTCGGATGATACAAGTACATATTGCCATGATAGAACCAAACAACATGGAAGAAGATATGACAATCACTTCTTCAGATCCGTTTCAGGTAAGTAACAGCTAAATCACAGAGGTTCGGCAACGGTCAGAGCCAGGATCGATATGCAGGCAAGCCATACACGGCAGGCCATACACAGGTCACCCTCAGTGACACTCTTCCGGATCCTCATGCCCACATGCTTCAGGTAGCAAAGTGTTACTGAAAGGAAAGAGATACAGGGTGTGTATCCTGACAAGAAAGGGACTAAGGAGAGGTACCACAGCAGTATGGCACGTCGGGTGGCCTACAAGGCCCTTACAGAAAAGTGGAACTCTGATATGAGACCGGAAAGAAACTGCGGCATGAACCACAGGGATTCCTGGGAGTAAGCTGTTTGCGGCACAGAACCCCTCTTAGACACTGTGGATGACTAACAAACAGTAGTAAATAATCAGAACCTCTTTGCCTCTGCTGAGAAACAAAGGAAGGTGGTAACAGGCTATGGGGGAGTCTTTCCTCCTCTTTCAGCCTACAATTCTCTGGTGCCCACAGGCTTCAGTGCAGCGTCTTCTAACTAGAGACTCAAAACCAACGTCTAAGTCATCTCTGGAATCCCAGAAACTGTCTACTCGTGTGTCTCACCTGCCCTCTGCTTCCTGAGTTAAACCATTGCACATTTGTCTTCCTTAGCGAAAAAACAAATGTAAGAGACGATGTTATTATTCAATATGAGTAAAACCCCACAGCTTCTGTGTTGATACATTCCAATTTCAGCATCAACAGGAGAACTAGGGAGGACTACCACAAGCTTGAGGCCATCGTGGCCTACAGAACAAATTCTAGACCAATCTAGAAAGCCTTGGATAGATGAGACCACATCTCAAAAACTAACTAACTAAATAAATAAATAAATATAAGAGAGAAAATGAAATTTTGGTAACTTCCTACAGGGAAAAATATAAAGCACTAGGAATTTAAATTATAATCCATATACACCCTTGATCTCTAGCTTACCTAAACACCAAGAGACTGAGACCCACACCAGATAAACATTGCACTGACTTTATAATAGGCTTTTCAAAGTACATTTTAAAATATAACATAAGCTTTCATTGTACTTTGGGTGTTTTGTCTTACATTACAACTAAGGAATATAAATAACCTTCCAGAGACAGTTATGACTCCTGGTCATTACCTATACAAAGTAAAATCCACCTGCAATTCCAAAAGTGTCCATAAGGTGGCACTGGGAGACCTTGAGTGCAGAACAAGAAAAGCTGTTTTTCCTCTTTTAAGTTATCTGCTTGGAGGAGAAATTTCCAAGCTGGCTATCCTTACTTCTGTCTTTGAAGAATGCTGTAAGTTCATTCTGGTCCACACACAGCCGTCAAGACAGAAAGGCTGATTAAAGAGACTGGTTCAGACTGCTTGTAAACCGAGACCCGTTTTGTAAACCTCACAGAGTAAGAAGTCTCCAGAACATTAAGTGTCATAAAATCACACTAGTTTCACACTTACCTACTTACTTCTAAGAGAACACAACCAAGATTACACAATTCTCACAACTCTAACATTTATGCTGAGGTTGGCTTGTACACACACACACACATACACACACACAGATAACTGAACATGTTCATTTGAGCAATATTTACCTGGGGTGAGACTTATTTTTTTCCGTATACCCAGTTCCTAGAAAACCTTGTGGGCCTATACACAGTACCTACAGAATATTCAGAACAAGCCTTCCCAGAACTGATGGTTTTCTCTCAGAACCCAGATATTCTTCACCTGAACCTAACTCTTTTACCCAAAATCTGATTTTAATGCATAATTTAATGCTCATTATTTATAACATTTTATGTAAAAAATAAGATACATATCAATCTTTAATTTTCAAGAGATGAATAGTTCTACACACTCCTACTCCTGCACATCTGCCAGCGTTCTCTGTAGCACACACACTGGGATTTTGATGGTTTTGGCGGGGGTGGGGATGGGGGTCATTTCATTAAAAATAGATTTTTTGCGTATAATATAATTTGACTATGTTTTCCCCTCCCTCTCAGTTCCTCTCCACTCCCCACCCCCATCCAGATCCACTCTTTCTGTCTCACAGTAGAAAATAAGCTTCAGGAGACAATAATAAAATACAATAAGTTAAACACATAAAACACTGGAATGTGATAAAACAAACAAGAGGAACAGAACCCAAGAAAAGGCAGGAAGAAAACAGATATATACACAAAAACATTCTTATTCCCATAGCCAGGATACCCATAAAAACACAATATGGAAGCTAAAATGATCTGTAGGGTAATGTCAGACAGACAGACAGACAGACAGATAAAATTTAAAAGAAAAAATAAAAATGAAAAACAATTAATTTTATATCCAGCTACATTGCCAAAAGTGCTTCTCAGCTGTAGAAGTTTCCTGGTGGAATTCTTAGGGATATATATACGTGTGTGTGAGTGTGTGTGTGTGTGTGTGTGTGTGTGTGTATGCATGTATATGTATATATGTACATATATGTATTCATATCATTTGCAAACAAAGATACTTTGACTTCTTCCTTTCTAATTTGTATACCCTTGGTCTCCTTCAGTTGTCTTATTTGTTCAAGCTAAGGCTTCAAGTATTATATTGAATAGGTATGTAGAAAGAAGACAATGTTACCTTGTCCCTGATTTTAGTGAAATTGCTTTGAGTTTCTTTCCGTTTATTTTATGTGGGCTATGGGATAGCTGCAAATCGCCTTTATTATGAAGTATGTCTCCTGAATCTCTTATCACTCCAGGACTTTATATCATGAAGGGCTGTTGATTTTTGACAGAGGCTTTTTCTATATCTAATGAGATGATTGTATGGGGTTTGTCTTTCAGTTTTGTTTATATGGGTGGATAACATTGATTTACGAATGCTGAACCATCCCTGCAAGCCAACTCGCTCACGGTGGATGATCTTTTTGATGTCTTTGGATTCAGTTTGCAAGTATTTTACTGAGGATTAGGGGAAATTGATCTGTAATTCTTTGTTGAGATCAGGGTAACTGAAGCCCTTGTAAAATTAATTAGGCAACATTCCTTCTGGGTCCATTTTATGCAATAGTTTAAGGAATATTGACCTTAGTTGGTTTTTTTTTTTTTTTAAAGTCTTGTAGAATTCTACAGTAAAACCATCTGGCTTTGGGTTTTTGGTTTGGAGGCTTTTTGATACGGCGTTTATTTCACTAACGTCATAGATAGATCTGTTTAAACTGCTTATCAGATCTTGGTTTCACTTTGATAAGTGGTATGTGCAAAGGAAATTACATTTCTTTTAAATTTTCCAATTTGTTGAAAAACAGATTTTCGAGGTCTGTCACTGTAATTCTCTTGATTTTTTTTCAGTGTCTGTTTTATGTCTCTCATTTCATCTCTAATTTTGTTAATTTAGGTATTTTCTGTGCCGTTTAGTTAGTTTCAATGAAGATTTGTCAATCTTATTTTCTCAAAAACCTTTATTTTCTGTTTCATCGATTCTTTGTAAGGTTCCCCCCCCCCTCTTTTTTTTTTTATTGATTTCGGCTCCGAGTTTTATTATTTCTTGCCCTCCACTTCTTTTGGGTGTAATTTTATCTTTTTGCTCTAGAGCTTTCATGTGTGTTATAAAATCATGAGCATAAAGTCTTTCCAGTTTTTCATTTGTTTGCTTATAAAGGCACTTAGTGCTGTGAATTGCCTCTTACTGAACTACTTTCAATGTGTCTCAAAAGTTTGAGGATGTTGTGCATTCATTTCATTGAGTTAGAGAAAGTTTTTAATTTATTTCTTGATTTGGGTCTTGACCCATTTTTTCAGTAGTGAGTTGTTCAGTTCCTATGAGTCTGTGAGCTTGCTGTTGTTTCTGCTGTTGGTGATGTCCACCTTTAATCCATGGGGGTCAGATAGGATGCAGTATGTTATTTCATTAGATACATTATATTTTCAGATTTACTTTGTGTAAGAATATGGAGAAAGTTCCTTGAACTGCTAAGAAGAAGGTATACTCTTTTGTGTTTCAGTGAAATTTTCTGTGAAGATGTTAGGTCATTTTGGCTTATGACACCAGTTAGCCCCAGCATGTCATGAGGGGTACTGCAATCTCCCACTACCGATCTGTGAGGGACAACACAGGATTTAGGCTGGAGTTGTGCTTCTTTTTTTTTGAATTTGGGTGCCCTTATGTTTGGTGCATAGATATTAAAAATTTTAATGTCCCCCTTGGTGTATTTTCCCTTTGATAAATATATAGTGCCCTTCTCTATCTCTTCTGATTACTTCTTGGTTTGAACCCTATTTTGTCAGATACTAAAATGGCTACACAGCTTGTATCTTAAAGTCTATTTCCTTGTATTATCTTTTTCCATCCATTTACCCTGAGGTAATATCAATCTTTGATGTTAAGATATGTTTTCTTAGTTGAAAAACATAAGATCCTGTTTTCAAATCTACTGTATTAGTCTGTGCCTTCTTTTTGGGGAATTGAGACCACTGATGTTGAAAGATATTGATAAGCAATATTTTGCTGGTTCCTGTCATTTTGTTGTTATTATTGGTGTGTGTGTGTGTGGGGGGGTGTTCCTGTCTTTTATTTGCTAGCCTGGGATTATTTATTCCTTATATTTTCTTGAGTGTTAACATCCTTGTGTTCAAGTTTTTCTTTTAGTACTTTCCGTGGAGCTGGATTTGTAGAGAGAGAATGCTATCTGTTGTGATGGACATTTTTCTGGATATAGTAATCTGAGCTGGCATCTGTGATCTCATTAGTTTTTAGATGAACTGTCTAAGTCCTTCTGTCTTTTATAATCTCATTGAGAAGTTGAGTGTTACTCTAATAGGTCTGCCTTTACTTGATCTTTCTCCCTTTCAGCTTTTAATATTCATCCTTTGTTCTGTACACTAAATATTTTGATTATTATATGCTCAGAGAAATTTATTTTCCGATCCAATTTATTTGGTGTTCTGTGTCCTTCTTGCACCTTAATAGGCATCTCTTTCTGTAGGGTAGGGAAACTTTCTTCTATGATCTTTTTATGATTTTATGTTTTTATGATTTTGTTTTTCTGTGCCCGGGTCCTGTGTTTCTTCTCCTTCCTCTGTTTCTATTATTCTTAGATTTGCTTTGTTTATATTGTTCCAGCTTTCCTGGATGTTTTGTGCCAGCTTATTTTTTTAAGATTTAATATTTTCTTTGACTGAGCTATTTCCTCCATCTTGTGTTCAGTGGCTGAGATTCTCTCTTCCATCACTTATATTCGATTAGTGAGGCCTGGCTCTGAGATTTCTGTTCAAATTCCTGCATTTTTTCATTTCCAGATTTCCGACAGTTTGGATTTACTTTCTGGATTGTATTTTCACTTTCAGATCTTGAGTGTTTTATTTAGTTCCTTCCATTGTTTTTGTTTTTGTAGATTTCTTTAAGGGATTTATTCATTTTCTCTCTAAGGATCATACTCATAAAGGCTATTTTAAGATCCTTGTTTTGTGCTTCTTCTCTCTCTCTCTCTCTCTCTCTCTCTCTCTCTCTCTCTCTCTCTCTCTC